CCTCGAACCCTCATGAAAACTTGGTACACTTCTTTATTTGTGCACCTACGGAATCAATTGATTTATCAATCATTCATCACATGGGAGGGGGGGGGTGGGGGTGTTAGACATTGATCTACCAATCTTTAGTCCCGAGCAAGCTCTCAAGCCAGTCCCTTTGCTTCGCAAAGCAAACTCAAGGTAGTCCTTACCAGGCTACCTTTCGTGAAATGTAAATAACCAGCTCTATGATTTATCGGTGTTTTATAATGCTCTATAGTATATACACGGTACATACAGTATATATGTCTATAGCCTGTACACATGAAGTGCGAGCATACACATGTTCCCAGTTGCTGCAACTCCCCCACGCCGCCATGGCCGTCGCTCTGCGCCGCTCCTCCTCCTCTCGAAGCTTCTTCAGCTCCTCTGCGCTGCCCTTGAAGAAGGCGAACTCCGACTCTTCTTCTGCGAAGCTTCAGCGCTGCGAACAGTCCGCTTCAGCTCTGCGAAGGCTGAGCTGAACAAGGCGTACGTGGGCCTCCTTTTTTTCGTGGGCCTACACGACACATAGGCTGCATCATGTAGACTCTTGATCAATAAAGCCCGCCCTTTGGGATCGTAAGACCTCTTCATATATGAGGGTTAGTTTGAATGAATCAAGGGTCTAGAGTCTAGAGTCTATACATTAGAGAGGTGCGTGCCCACCTACAGCATCCTGAAGCTGCCTGCAAATCCGTTGATCACAGCCGAACCTCCGAAACCCACGTGCTTCACCCCGCACCATCGATCTACGCATCCCCTGCAGCCGTGCATCAAAAGCCCTGCCTTGCAGGTTGCTGATGTCTTCTCCCCGCAGAATGCGGCCGACTTTGCTGGTCCGTCCTGTCAGCGGACGCATTCTGCGTGACGGCGGAGTCGCAAACCGCAGAAGCAGCAGCGTCGGTGTATGATGATGGATGGGGAGTGAATGGGTCGATGATAACAACAGAAACGCTCTGATTCACCGTGTCAAGTCATCAAGTCTTCACCCCAAGGCGTTTGGGCATCACGTCGGGTGATTGGAGCACTGGAGCATCCCGAAAACCACCGGTCCACACAGGCGGTGCACGCCTCCCAAAACGGCCTCAAAAGGATATCGAAGATGCAGACCACACCACATCCAAGAGAGGTTGCACAGCCCTTTTTCTTCGCCCAATATGTACCACAGACTCAGGGTCCGAACGTTCAGGTCTCTCAACCTCTCTTTGGATACGAAAAATCCCGAGTTTCGGGCAGAAAACCCCACCCCTTTGGGTTTCCGCTCACGCCCGTGGTCCCTCCTCCAATCCCACGCCCCCGTTTCGTCACCGCGTACGCCGGGTGCGGGGGCGGCATCGGAGCGCCTGAAAGATCCACTTGGACGTCCTTACCCAGCACGAACTTGTCGAACCTGAGAGGATGGAGAGGGGATGGGTGGAGGGGGGTGGCTCGGCTGGGGGGTGGAGGGGTGGTTTCCGGCAGATGTGGGGAGCAACCCACCAAAAATTGGAAGTGCAGGTGCTTTTTTGTTGGATGGCCTTTTCATCGTTACAGCATGCTACACGCGGAGTGTTCTGGGCTCCAATGGTGAGACATGCTGCTCTCCAAAAGATGTCCATGCCCGCCACCAATGCACGCAACGTGCATTGGATGCCTTTCAGCCAGACTCGCCAGACCAATCTGAGTCTGCAAGCATTAATTCTTCATAGACATTGTCGATGAAGAGATTGGCAGCAGGGAAAAGGGCCTCGAATGCGGCGGTCGCTTCTGTAGACAATCCTCCAGCATTCAAGGGGCGAGTAGCATCTACGAACGGAAAGTCAATTGATCGAATGGTGTGCAGGGGACTGGTGTGGCACCCCCGGAACTGCTTCAAATCGGGCACGTGCTCCATCAACACTGCCAGCATCTCATTGGTCACTTGGACAACTAAGTATAGTTGAATTTCTTGCAAGTTGCAGCACTGCTTGAATGTCTCCAGCAGCCAGCGATACACCTGCTCATTCTGACTTGGTGACCGCAATTCTGCCAAGATGGCGTCCAGGCCATACCGTAGGCTAAAGGCTGGGTCGACAAATGCTTCGTTCGAAACATTCAGAACCCTCAGCTGTTGAAAGTGCCCCAGGGGCCACAAGTCTTGCATCACCTGGCGGCCCACAATCAGCTCACTCAATCCTCTTGCTGAAGCTGGTGGGCGAAGCTGCACTCGGTCCAGGTGGAAAGACCTTAGGGATGTGCAGATTTCCAATGATGCTTGAACTTCCGCACCCAGCTTCCCTGAACCACAAGTGCTTAGACACAACTCTCGAAGACCTGAGAAGGACTCTAAGGCCCAGCGAACTGAGGATGAACTCAAGGAAGAACTGCTTGCAACCAATCGAGCCAACTGACTTGGCTGAAATCTCCTCAAGGCTGCCTGTAGGTCAGCGTCGCCCACCCTTGAATCCTTTAGCTCTGTACTCTTCCACGTTTGGCCTGAGGCCATGCCATTCCAGTCCCAGTCACAAAACAAGAAGCGACCTAGCCGATGCTTGCGGAGCTCAGTCACTGCAAATGGCCAAGAACCCATGTCAATATCCACCTCTGAAGCCAGGCGATACGCCCGCTCGAGCCATGCCTTGTTGGTCATGCTGAGCATCTGTAGCGAGCCAATGGATGCACAGCTGAGGATCTGCGCTGTGAGCACATCATCGGCCAGCACTGCGGCACAGCAATGCTGTGGCCGTCGCCGCCGGCAGCAGAAGGGGAAGCGGGGATGGCGGGGCTGCTTGGGTGGCGGCGCAACGGGCCTGTCTACGAGAAACTGGTCATCCAGGTCTAGCAGATCATGTAGAGTTAGGCGTGCCATGCAGAACAGGCAGGACACAAAACCTCGAGCCAACATGAAGGGCTTGAAAGTCGGATCATCCAAGCTTCCTGCATGACAGGTAGCGGTAGCAAAAGCGTTTCGAAGAAGGAAGCGTTTCGACGTTGCTTTCCAACGTCCGAGGGTCTTCTTAAACGATGTTGATGCAAAAAAACATGAGCAAACCAGCAGTTCCATGACAGGGAGCGGAAGAAAAAACGGTTGCAGGATGAAAATCCACTCGGGTTCCCGGAAACACCGAGAGCTTGGAGCCTCCTGCTGGAAAACACCCACATCCAACGGCGTGTTTGCGCCCACGGGGGCTGCATCGAATCACATGTCGTCAAGCCTGTGCACATACTTACACAGCTCTCACGTCACTCTTCACCATGCAAAACCCGGAGGGTTTTCAAGTGGGCGTGGGCGACTGGGGCCAAAAGAACTTCTGGCCGACTCCCAGGCTGCCTGGTCCAAAAAACGGATACAGCGGGCATCAGGTGTTAAGCACCACGTGAGTTCGATTGGGACAGCAGATCTTCAACCATCATGACAAAGTTACCTCTATGTTCGCCCTGGCGTACTATATAACTATAACTGTGTCTAATCTTTTGACCCATTCGATGAGCCAGGCACCGTCCAAGCGTCCTCCAACAGTCCGCCACGGCTCTCTCGAAGCCGGGCTTCCCTGCAGAAAATTGAGCGTGGCGCTGATGAGGGTGACCACGAGCCCAAAAACGAAGATATTCCCCAAGAACTCCGGGGTCACACCTGCACGCCGATGAAAACGCCGGTGGGACGAAGGATCACCCCCACCGCCGTTCAGGACTGAACGCTTTGGACGCTGGATTCGGAGCCCCCCCGAAACCGGGCGGGACTGGACGGAGGCGGCCTTGCAAACACGGAATGTCCCGTGTTTTGGAAGGTCCAAGAGTGTTTATTTGAAGGTGCCCAGTGCCAACTGCGGAGAAGATTAAAAACACTGAAGGAGGAGGTCCCACCTGCGTGTAGGTGTGCTGGGAAGCACGAGCAAGATTTAGGACCTGGGATACTCAGCTGCTACTATTAACCTTTTACCCTCCTTGGCCAGTCTTCTTTTTCTTTTCTCTCCACCAGACTGTCTGATTCAATTTCCGTGTCTATTATGTCTATTTATGGTAATAGTAGCATTTATCGGTTTTTTGTTGTGATGATTCCTGATGTTTCTCACACCGATGGCTCTTTCCAATGCCCCAACTGGGAAGAACCGTTCTTTCGGGATGAGTTGTGTCCATTCTCCGCCTTTTCTCGCGGCACCCAGCATCGTCGCTCGGCCGCTAGGCCCGGCATTGCGGCGTGGTGCCTGGCCATGCGGTGTCTGCATCGAGCGGCCCTTCCAGCAGTGAGGCGTTGCGACAAAGGTTGAGGAGGTGCATGGGTTGCGCGTGAGCTCCACTGTTCATCAACACCACACGTCCGTCCCCTCCGCGTAACAAGGAGCCATAGGCCTGATGCCGCTGCAGGGGCAAGCCACCTCTCCGCTGCAGGTAGATGAGTTTTTGAATCGTGTTGAAGGAGCGCACCTCCATGGGCGCCCCCGAAAACTTGATGGCGTCCGACGCGGAGTTCACGTTGCAGTCGGAGGCCCGCCACAGGAGCAAACTCTCGGCTTCCAGTGGGGACTGGAACACTCCCAAGCGGCAGTCGAAATGGGCAAGGATCCGATCTTCAAGGGTCAAGCCCTTCCTGGTGGTTTCGTCACTCTGGTGTCCAGAAGTCGGGCTGGTGGACTTTGTTCTTGGAAATCATCATGATTTGAGCATTTAAGGTTTTCCCACTCATGGGGAATCCGAAACAATCCAAACGCAAAGAACCAAAACCTCTCTGGAAGGACCACCCAGTTTCTGAGCGGCCAGGGCCGCCAGCATCCGGTTGCAAGTGGCCGTGGCCACGCTCGCGGCGATGCTGACCCACCAGGAGACGTGGCCTCCCCCTTCGGGGCGGCAGCTCGAACCGCTGGGAAGCTCGGTGAGGGGAGGCACCAAGATGCTCATCTCATCGCTGTGGGTGTAGCCTTAGAGGTTCCCCCTTGGCTCCGGCACTGCGACCCCAACCGAACTGTCCACCTCTTCTTGTTGAGTGGGGCGCCTGAAGCCAGAGCAAGGTATATAAGAAGGGGATTCGCCTCAATGAAGTGTCCACGAAAGGCCGCAAGCTCACAAGGTACCAGTGCAGTGCATGCACCTGTTTTTTCCTCCGTAGGCCTAGTGACCTAGTGATGAAAGGCCAAAAGTTGCAGGGTCCCCAATGCCCGGGTATTGCAAGGCATTAGGTTATATATCCAATTTTCCTGGGTAGGAACTGGATTCATCAAGACCCACCAATGGGCGAGGTGCGTACCCTGTTCCCTCGGGGTGTGACAAAAAATGGGAGGCGTGTCACGTGTCTATCGTGTCTTCAAGTGGTGGGGTGTGACCCCGACCGAGCAAAAGTTTAGACTTAAAAAGTGCCCCAAGATGCCCCAAGTGCCTATGAGATCTCCCTTCATTGTTAGGAGCTGGTGTTTTTTCTTATTTAGGTAGGTTCCTCCTCCAAACCACACAGAAAAGAAATGAGAGACGCTCTAACCTCCACATCCCCCCCCCTTTATAGATTGGTCCTAGGATCCCAGATGCAGATCCCGTGTACGGTACAGGGTTACGGTTCCTCCGCCGGGTCGCCCACCACGGCGCCGAACTCGCACATCACGGCGCGGCAGCTGGCGATCATCGTCTCCGCGATCTCGGAGCGAAAGCCATAGTCCAAAATCCCTGGTTGGTGGCTTCGACTCGAAAATGAGTCGGTGGGCTCAGTCATCCCCCCGACTCAAAGGAAAAGAAACACATCACATATGTAAACATACACTATGCCACCACCCAGCCTGAAGCCTTCAAGCGCGCCATCAAGGTGCCCCAACAGCATCCATCTAAGCGCAGAGAGATCCAAGCATTGGTGGGAAGCGGCTTTTGGTATTCCTCATGAGCTTTCACCAGCTTTCCCAACTGTGTCCACCACTTCTTCTGGATCAAAGGCGCCAACTCGTGATCATGGATCTGATCGTGCCTTTGCGGCCTTTTGAGCTCTAAAACTCTCCGCATCTGCTGGGCGAACGACTCCAGGTCCGCGTTTTCCGGATCCAGGGCGGCTTCAGCAGCTGAAGCATCGATGGCCAGTCGAAGGACTCTGGAAAGTTTGGACTTTGAACTTTCAACACCTGGGCTTTTGGACCAGTTGCTTTGAACTGGGCCATCTTTGCCTCTCTGGCCTCGCTTCGGCACCAACCACCGCACGACCCAGGCGCCTATGGCGGCCCCGCGCGTCACTACCACCGCCCTCTGTGCGCCGGGCGCGCGGAGCACGTGGAGCTCCGCGCGCAGCACGCGCCATGGGCAAATCGGACGCGCGCCGATGGCTGATGAGACCGCAGCCATTCAGAAGGCTTGAGCCATGTGGATGCCCTGAACATGGACCAATTGGACCGGACCGAGGCCCTCCTACCTTGGTCCTACACCCCCGCCCAAGACGGGAGAAAAGAACCAATGACCAAGTGGCTCCTCATGCCCTCCGGGTCAACGCCTGCGACATGTCTTGGAACGCCCGATGCTTCCGGTGAACTGCCCCCCGGCTGGCCTGTCTTTGGGAGCAGCGCATCCTTGGTGGGCCACAACCGCGCAGCCCGGCACACGGTCCATCTGTGACCTCTAATGTAATGCGCTCCTTCCCAAATACGACACACGGGACTGCCATAGGACTACCGATCAGGCCAGGGGTGGTTGAAAAGGGGTATAATTGATCGGCATATATGGCAGTCCCATGGAGTGTCTGGGCTTCTTGTTTTAGACCACCAACCTTCAACCACCCAAAATATGGTCTGTGTTCATTCCTTTTTTGATCAATCCAGGGGTCATATGGGGTCATGTCTGGGTTCTGGGTCTACATGGGTCTTTGGGCCCATGCTTGTGCCCGGAACAGCCCCTAGGCCCTAGACCACCCAAGAATGGTCCGATGTCCATGGGTCCCGTATACCAGGAGGTGTTGCTACTCTTCGTCTGATTTTACCCCGACTTCCCATGTGCCATGTGCCAAATCAACCTCATGCCTACAGAACTGATTGAAAACATTGCACACCTTCTTATTGGCCCCTGAAGCAGGGCAAGCGACACGCGGTGGCCTTCGGGTGCCAAAAAGAAAGCCGTCCCACTCGCTTGGTTCCTTTGGCACGCAACGAGCTCGCAACAAGAATTCTGTATACTGCAATCTGTACCAAAAAAAAAATCTGCATGATTGCAAAGCAAAGAGTTTATCCTGTTGACAGTGGACAATGGTTACAATCCTGTTTGGTGCAATCCTTACGGACGCCGGAACCCGCCCGGGCCTGGCAGCCGAGGCGCGAAGAAGTCGCCCACCCCGGAATCTTTGCGGACCTCGCTGAGGTCCACCCCGGAGTCCTTCAGGTAGGACAGGTACTCCTGGCATGGGGGAAAATACCATAGGCTTCAAAATCCCTATATGCTTCTATATGATGTTGGAGGAAGAAACCCTGCGTGGGGAGTAGAAACCATAGGCTTCAAAATCCCTATATGATTCTATATGATGTTGGAGGAAGAAACCCATGTAATCATATGTACTGTAATCCATTGTCATCCATGTGTCATGTAATCTCTATTCAGGATTATATCACGTGACCGCCGCCACCTTGAACGTCGTCCTGGTTGACGTCCGGAGATGCGTCCCGCGAATTGACGCGTCGCCCATGGAAAGCGACGACGTGACGAGAGGTGGTTCATTCATACCATGTACAAATTCCCAGCTGGTGGATGATAGAAAGCACCCGCCAAATCCCAAATGCATCGAAATGATTCGTTCATGATTCGTTCATATTAAAGCAGAGCTCAAAGGGATGCATACAAATACAATTGATCCACAAGTGTTCGTTTCTCATGGCTTCCATCCAAACAAAAAAATGTTCTGAAATCAGCACTCCACAACAATGTCATCCGCCCTTTGGCTGGTGCTGCCCCCCACTTTCAAAAGCTGGAACTGACCCATTCCGGACTTGGTTTCAAGTACACACCTCTCTTGGCCATTCGTTCTTCGTTTTGTTCAGAGGGCCCTCTTCACAAAGGAGACCATTCTCGATCTAACCTGTCGGATTAGAAGTGGGGTGGAATGCCCCATGGCGTCTCCAATCCCGGCATCTTCGTGTTTCAGCAGATGATCCAACCGCCGGAGCACCAAACCGCCGTAGAACCGAACGGTCCTCCTCACTGGCGAAGCCGTTGGGCAGGGCAGCCCCTGAGGCTCTTCACTGTAAAGGGAACGAACGATGAAGACTTGCCCTGGGAGTTACACACAACATTCCACAACTATGGGAATTGACTAGGCTGGTGATCCGTTGCGTCATTGCCCTTGTCATCCTTTCTTTAAGAATGGATTTAAGGCAATTTGCCCTCATTCGAGGGTTAACCATTTGCATTTGAGGGTTAGAGTATTTGGATGAAGAGGCTTGGCCCACAAAGAGAGAGAGGGAGAGAGGGGGAGGAATGCAACGTTTGTGCAGCTCGCTGACTTTTTCTGCGATCATCTTTGGTTCGGTCATGGATCGGGCTCACCCGGTCCAAGGTTCCACGCTGACACGAAGATAGATAAATGCAATCAAGATAAAGAAGAATTGAACTCCGAAGATAAACAAACCAGTACTTGGTTTTAACATTGTTTTAAAGGATTTGAGTTAGTGACAGGGCCAGTCAGCTCAACCGGAACCTTCCCCACGAGGCTCAATGTCAGAACCTCTACCCTTCAGTCTAAATCAACCTAATCACTTGGTTTGCAGTCAGGGACACTGGCGATCGAAGGAAATACAGTGGCTTTCCTAGGTCGCAAAGGGTTCCGAAGTTCTGGTCATGTCTTATGATTCTTTGCAAAGAGGCCCAAGTCTGAAGTTCATGGCCAAGACTCTCGGTCCCAACTCCTGAGCAACGAACATTTGAACAAAGAATGATAGCAACGCCGGATGACATAGACAGGTCAAGAATCCGATTTTTCTTTTGAAAAGGATACCCGCCAAATCATTTGCAACACCCTGCTTGCGCCCAATTCCTTAGTGAGCCATGTATGCATGGTGCTGCAGTGGCAAAGCTGCAGAGCAGATTCGAGAAGCGGCCGAGGAGCCTGAAAAGTAAATGCTGAAGCGGCATTGCCATACTTGAAGTTTGTGGTTTGCAACGAGTGCTGGAAGTAGATCGGAGTAGGCTTGGGAGATAATTTGTATGTCGGGCCCGGGCCTCCTGCAACTTTTATCGAATCTTAGGGTACAAGATGGTACAAGTCAAGTGCAAGTTGGGAAGACAGGCATCAACCCAAAAAGAATCAAGAAACATTTAAGCACAAAACTCCTGCATGTCCCACTGGCTCGGAAATCACATCATGACAGTTCACGGAATAGTCTGTAGTACCTGAATCCTCCATCTCCTTAAGGAGTTCCCTCCACGTACAAACCTGACTATCAGTGCAAGTCTTGGCCCCTTCGTCAGGCACTTCCAGAACCACCTTGCATAGATCCGACCGCCAGGAGACAGAGCAGACACGCTCAAGCTCACCTGGCAGCTGGACGATAAGGAAAGGGTAGTTGGGACGATAAGGAAAGGGTAGTTGGGATATGTTGGGACAAGGTCGGAGGGCAAGGCTTCAGATGATAGTAAGACCATCATAAAGACTTCTATTCTTGAAGCTCTTTTGTCACGACTGCGGCGGCACCCAAACCCCTAGGGTGTTTCACTGTGATCTAAACTACTGGCCAATCTGCCATCAGGCGAACTTGTCATCGAACAGTGACAATGAATGTTTTCAAGTTTATAAGACAATAACATGTTTTTTGAGATTTGAACAGTACAGTAACATGTTTTACACGGCGGACAGTCGCCAACAGGCACCCATGGAATGCAAAATCACATCTTTAAAGATGTAAACATTCAGCTAGCGGTCTTTGAACTCTTAGTCTTCAGAGTTCCCAGCTCCATTCTGGCACTCTGGCTCCTGGCGCTGTTGATCAGGAGCTTGTGCCGGCACCAACCGCCTCCTCGAGAGTTCCGAGTTGCTCATATTGCGGATGGAACTCAGGCGTTCGGGGTGCTCCTTCCACCTTGGACCAAAGACGGACGGAGGGATTGGGAATGAAGTCAAACAACAGGTGACTGATTGTCTCAAAGTAATCATTCTCTTAGGTAAGAACATTTTGCGAGCCCTCTCCATGGATTCTGTTTTTGAAATACCTGGATTCTCCGCTTCAATTTGCTCACGTGCGGACTTGATGTGATCCCAATAGACCTGTCTGAGGCCAACCAAGCCCAGCGCACCAGGCTTTTTTGCCTCACACACACTAAGACTGACTAGTGATTTGAATAATTTGCTGATTGAAAGAGAATTGAATCTCAGATGACTGGCCTGGCCGTCGCCGTCATCCTCCTTGCGAGCCCTCTTGCGCTTTGCTGACTTTGCCTCCGGCGGAGGTGCATCCTTGCTGCCTTTTGCAAAATCGTGGCTGCCTTTTCCATCATCCTTGCTGTCTTGTTCATCAGCCTTGCTGTCTTTTGCATCATCCTTGCTGTCTTTTGCATCATCCTTGCTGCCTTTTGCCTTTGAATCTCGATCTGCTTTTCTGGCCTTCTTTTGGTTTTCGCCACCCACCTTGCTAGCCTCTTGCGGGCGCTTTGCCTTTGGATTGCTGTTTGTCAGTTGGCCAAAGGCCCTGGCCCTGAACTTTGAAGCAGCAAGTGCACGCTCAGCTGGCGTCGGCTCATTCTCTCGTTTCTTTGTCCCGACCTCACCCTTGCCAACCTCCACCTCGTCCTCATTGTTATCCTCCTTCTTTGACTTGGCTGCGCCACCCTCTGGCTTCTCGGATTTGTGTCCATCTGCTTTCCTCTTGCCATCTCGGCCCGTTGACTTGTTGGTCTTCGTTTCATCCCCAGGCATTTCGGGTTTGGGCTTCAGCTTCATCTTCCCAGCCTTCTGCTTTTCCGCGCCTTCTGCTTGCTTGTCCTCGCTGCCTTTCTTGTGCTTTGTGGCTGGGGGACTTTCCTCCCCCAGATCAACCTCGTCCTCATCCGGAGGGGATTCTTCTGGCAAATCACCCGACGACAACGATTCCTCAGAATCCAAAGGATTTTCTTCTGATTCATCCTTCTTCCCCCGACGGGTTTTTGCCTTCTTCTTGGTGTCGGCCTTTGCCTTTGCTTTGGCACGAGTTGGTTTCTTTTCCTTCTTTTGCACTGATTCCTTCTTCTTTGTCTCCTTCAGCTGCTGTCTGGCTGAAGACAAAGCAGCTTTCAAAGCTGCCACTCTCACCGAGGTCATCTGTGGGTCGTTCGTTCGAGTTCGTGCCAAAGAGGTCAAAGGTGATTGCGGTTTTGGAACGTTGCTTGGATCCGGGTTTTCCTTCTTTTCCTCATTCATGACTTTGACTTCTTGACTGAAGCTCACTTTGGGACATGGCGCTTTGACTTCTTGACTGGTGCTCTTTGTTTTTTCCACTGGCTCCTCCTCCCTCTTCTCGCCACTTTCCAAACCTGGAGAGTTCTCCTCAGGCTTCTCGCCACTTTCCAAAGCAAAGTCATGCTCTTGAGTGTCTTGAGTGTCTTGAGTGTCTTGGGTGTCTTGGGTGTCTTCATTCCCTTTAGTCGGCAGGGCCAGCTTTGAGATCTCAGCAGGCTTACGTAGGGCTCCTGGACGGCAAGTCTTTGGGATGGCCTGCAGGTTGCCAGAATGTGGCATTCAAGAGTTCTTTGATTGGACTGGAGCTGTCATTCCTTAAAGGGTGAGTTGAAAGGTTTCAAGTTGCTTTTTCCAACATGGTTCACGGCCTCGATGGGCGAGCTGCTAGGCGCAGATTTCGGAACCTTGCACGGCTGTGCGGAAGAGGCGTGCTGAGGGGAGGGTCGGACTCGAGGCCCAAACAATCCGGTTTGGAGGCGTCTCTGCATTTGCCGGGCTGTGCTTCACCAGCTCACCAAAATCCTGGACTGAATATGGACTGGACATCTCTATTCAATAGCTAGACATAAACAGTTAACAGCAGAAACAGTGATGCATAATAAAAGTGATTTTAAGACCCACCTGGCCTTGTCAAATCCATGGGTAGCCAGAAGGTTTTCAAGAGGAGATGGCATTCTCACTACTAGGCTGACAGGTACTAGTTTTTGCTCCCGTTGAAGCTGTTCAGACCGCTCTGAGCCAAACATAGTAACATAATGTGCTTTTGAAGCATTTGATATGTCTTATAATTATAGCATCAACACATATCGTTGTATATAATATATATTGTATGACTAGAAGACTGCTCAGTACTTGGATCATACACTTCACAATCATGTCGGTGGTGCTAGTTCTCTCCTCTCTCGTCCACGTCAAAAATTTCTCCGCACGGATGAATTTGGAACTTCCGTGACCCACTTGATACTCCATGTCTGAGAGCTGGACAGAGCAGTGAGCGGCCTAAGATCACACACTTCACCCATCAACAGTTCACCCAGTACGACCAAAAAAACAAAGAACGTGAACACAAATTCATCCGATAAAAAAATATTGAAACCAGTTGTTTAGCGATGAGTCATGAAACGAGAAAAAGCTTCCAGCGTTGGCCGTCAACGCATTGTGTGACTTCCCCCGATCGGTTCATGGAGCGGGTGAGGAACAGTGTTGTGCCCGTTGTCCTCCCGGCAAATTTGCTTTCGACCACGTACTGATCGAGAAGTGCCTCGATGGTCAAAGGCTCGGTCCAAGGTTCAACTGCCACTTCAGGTTCCTCCGGCTCAGCTTCAACCATCGCCTCAATCTGGTGCCCGTGTCCACGAAGGCCAAACCTGGGCCGGACAGGTTTTGAACTTCTTATGGAATACGATCTTATGGGGTATGGAATACGATCTTACAGGTTATGGAATCCGGTTTGAACTTATGGGGTCAAATGGAAAACATTTTGGGTAGGGCCTTGGAGCTTTTTGTCCATGGATGGCATCGTCTGCGTATCTCATCCGGGTGGACACAGGGATACTGATCTTGAACTTGCTCCAGCCGCGTTTGGTGGGGTCGATGTCTACCTCCAACTTCACAATCCGCAGGGGAAAGTTGTTGACATCGGACTCCTTCCCTGGCAAAGCCGGAGGTGGCTTTGCTTCGTAGCGGCGGACTTTGCCAAGACAAGTCAAGTTTCCGGCTTTCCACTCCTGCAGGGATAGCGGGATACGATGGTAATATTATCAACTACCATGTATCCCGCTAACAAATGACCCCGAGGGCCC